AGTCATTTTTGAGAAGTAATAAACTGGAGTTGGGTCTTAGTTAATGGGAATGACCGAGACAAGAAGTGTTAGGTTCCTAGAGGAATAAGGGATATTGTAATTAAAAATGTTAGATAAAAAGAAAGGAGATCTCATAGTATTTTCAAAAACTGTGAAGGGTCAGAAATTTTACCCTACTTATACGCTAACAAGTCAGCTTGCCAAAGTTTCAGGGATGCTTATATAACAAGAATCCTGGGTCAGAGACAAAGAACTCTTGTTATTCACAGTACAGCCAGCAGTGTGAGCTTCATGTTCATACTGCTTTCCCGTACCTTCCAACTCCCACAGGACAACACCAAGGTGAGTTCAGGTGGATGCTATGCACACAGTGGGTTTGTGTTACTTCTAAGGACCCAAGTTTTAGGGAACCCAAATCTTTTATAATGAAATGAACACTCTGTAGGGAAATGTAATCTATCATCACACTTATCCTCTGCTCTGAAGGGAGACACTGTGTCTTTCAAGTCTGTTGACTATAAAAACAGTCTTGAAAAGATAGTTCAAAACAAAGGTCATCAATGCTTGTGCTCACAAAGTGCGCAGAAATGTGAGAAACCCACAGAGAATTGCCTCTAAATAAGTTTGTGCAACCACTAGGGAATAGTCTTGCACAAAGGTGTACCAGAGATATTTAATTTACCTAGTGCTAATTTTAACCTATGGCATCTCCAAACTCTTCTGGGGAAATTAAGTCAACACAACACAGGTAAATGTTGATGATGAGAATTGAAATCAGCAGACATTCTGTGTCCACTGAATGACCAACACCATTGGAAACATGAAAGGGAAGGTACAACGCATCCCTTTCATTTTACCCAATATATATAGTTCACACAGAGTCCCACTGGACTGCTTGTAACCACCCTACCTCCTTAATACTATCTCTGATCTAATTTCAGGATGAAATGTTAGAAAGTTGCCTCTGAATTTTTACTTCCCAGACATGCCCATATATTACCATTTAGGGCCTAAAAACATTACCAATTTTTTCCTTTATAACTCTTTCACTGAGTAAAATAAGTATTATAGGAAAACACAGTTTTCTGTATAATTCAATAAAACTATTTTCCTTTTCAATGAAAAATACACATTTTTTCCCTGAGTTTGACCTCATAGACCAAAAAACAGAAAATAAAAACATCTACTCATTACAGATCACATCTAAGTAAGAATTAATGGTTCTGTGAACTTCCAAATTCTAAGTGAATTATCAATCTCACACAATTCAGTCACATACCAGATTTCACTGAAATTCGTTTAAAATGAAGGATAACATCTTTCAAATGATCATGTTGGCTTCCATTTTGCTTTAGGAAGAGTAACTGAAATATGAAATGGTTCTAAGATGTATTTGTAAAACCTTCATTCCTTCAAGTTACATATTTAATGAAAACTTCTCAATTCTTTTGAAAAGTTATGAAGCAAATGATAAAGTAGTAGTAGACTGAAACCTATATTACTTTCCTTTAATACATCAGTGATATTTACAAAGACCTGGCCCTTTTTTTTTTTTAATAGAACCATCTAACACATGCCTTCTCAGCAGGGACAGTATCACCCCAAGGGGATGAATATTGGTTCTTGGGGAGGTGGGCAGAGAAAAATCTTGGATATTACAATTGTTAATGGCCCTCCAAAGGGCCACACTATATAAACAGATTATACGGTACATCTATTGTATTAAATTTTAATGGTAGGACAATTAGGAAAAAAGTGTCTAAAAAGGCTCCTTAGCAGGAGGGGGAAACTAATGAAAAAAAATGGTTTAGAAAAGTGATCTAGCATAATATTTTGACGAGTGTTGTGTTCAGATGGCAACCGTTAATTAAGTAAAGGGATTTATTTTTAATTCCTCTCTATATCATATTTGTTCCATTTTTAATATTTATACAGTATCATTACATTGAAGAATTTTAATGAAATGACATCCATGTCATTGTTATAATTTTTAATGTCTTAAAATTTAATAATTGCATATTATTTATGTAAAATAATAAATACATACTGTTTTGTAGTCTTTTTTTACTTTTATACATATATTTATTTTTCTACACAGTCTTTATAATGACTGTTTTTATAAGGATACATGAAATTCAGTTATACTATGGTTCTCTTCTGGTTAAATTTCTATATCTCTAAAAATTCCTTTCATGTTTCTATGTAATTCTGCTTCTACTGATTGTCTATTAAAAATTGGGATCCTCAGGGCACCTGGGTGGCTCAGTCGGTTGAACATCTGCCTTCAGCTCAGGTCATGATCCCAGGGTCCTGGGATGGAGTCTCACATCAGACTCCCTTCTCAGCTGGGAGTCTTCTTCTCCCTCTGCCTCTACCCCCTGCTCGTGATCTCTCTCTTTCTCTCTCTCAAATAAATAAATAAAATCTTTTAAAAAATAAAATAAAAATTGGGGTCCTCGGGAATTGCATCCTATAATGTCTTCTCTTTTCATATGGTATATCTGGGTGATCTCACCCATCTTCCAATAGTACCCAAATCTTTAGCTTCAACCCAGACTTCACTCCTGGGTTCCAGACTCGTATTTCTAACTGCTTACTAGATATGTCTACTTAAATATTCCTCAAAAAATAATCATATTTTCTCATACCTGTTTATCCCTGGTGATCTAGACTCCTTCCCTCACCCTTGATCTCGCCCCCTCAGCCAGGTCTTATTAACTATATTAAGACCTTCAAAGTATCCACCCTCTCCATTTGTTCTTCTATCCTTTTAGTTCACTTCTTTATCTCTTAGACAATTACACTATACTCCTAGCCATTTTTCTGCCTTCTGTTACACCATACTCTGAGTCATTCTCCACAGTGCTGTCCAACAAGTCTTTCTAAAATGAAAGTCTAATCAAGTCACTTTCTATTTCTTATAGCTGTGTTTCCCAATACAGTAGCCACTAGCCATATATAGGTATTGAGCACTTGAAATGTAGTTAGTCTAAGTGAAATGTGCTAAAATAAAAACACGCTGGGTTTCTGAGACTTAATCTGATAAAAAGACTTTAAAAAATAAATATTTTTGTGTATATTGAGTTAAACATTTACTTAATATATGAAAATTGATTTCATCTGTTTTTATTTTTTTTTAAGTATGACTCCTAGGAAGTATAAAGTTATTTATGCAGCTCATGTTTTTGGCCTACATTATCTATCTATTGAGAGTGTTGAGCATTATAGAATAATGCTCAAACCCATATCACAGAATTATGATCTTTTATCATTTGGTCACCATATGCCTCCTCCATTTTGTCTTCTGTTAGCTTCATGCAAAGAGGGCTGGTCTTGGTGTCACATTGACATGGGCTCGTACCTGGGCCCCTCCACATGCTAGCTGTGTGATCTGGAACAAGATGCTTAAACTCTAAGTTTCAGTATCCTCAGCTGAAAAACAGAGATGATACCTATATCAATGTGTAGTTGGATTAAAAGATAAAACAAATGTGAAGTGCTTACTGCCTAAAATTTAATTCTCCCAGGTACATTCTAGCCATGCCAAACTACTTTCAGTTCCTCTTTTCTTTGTACTGTAGAGAGCAGGTGATGGTGCAGATGTGTCTGCAGCTTTAATATTCCTAAATGTTTATAATCCCCCTTCCCTGGTTAGTCACTGGGGCTCCACTTCCCTTTGATCTGTCCTGTTTTTACCAAATTTTGGACCTGAGAACCTCTCTACTCCCTTTGTTTTTTATTTAATATCATGTCCTAGAGAATTCATTTTAAAAGAACAAATGATTGATATAACATTGTAAAAAATCTCAAGTCAAATAAAGGGCATAATCAAAAAAGGTTTTAGCTTGTTCTTGCCCTGTAAGAGAATATTTGTGGGTGCGTGTGTGATATGATACCCCATAGTCGTTCTTTAAACAAAGTAGGATTTAAATTAAACTTCAGAATAACATCAGAAACAGTTTTATTCTCCCTCGCTCCTGCCTTCTTCTTCTCTTAAGCCTTCTGCTTACAAATGTCCTCTACCCCAGGCCCACACATTTAGCAACCACTCAAATTAACCACTTAGTTAGGGTACTTTTAACATAAGCTAAACCAGATAGGAAGATGGGTCTCAGCTCTCTGTGGATTATCCACAGTATAGTAGCTTTTCTGACAATAAATACCTTGAGACAAATGTTTCTAACAAATCTTTAAAGTGTTTTTGATGGCCAGAATTGTCAAAGATAAGAGTAGGATAAAATGTTTTAAATGCATTTGCATTAGGAATTTCCATGTACATTTTTTGAATACTCTGCTCATGGAATCTTAACAGTTCTTTCCCATAAGAAAAATTTAGAAACACAACAGCATTCTAAAAGGAATGATGAAAAAAAAATTTTTTTTTAAAAAGTGATGATGAGACTCTGGTTAATGTCTCTCAAATGTAAAATGCACCCTTTCAAATGGTGTGGTCACCTTTTCCTTCTACAATGTCAGCATCTTGAAATTGGTAAAGGATATGGATTAGGTAGGAATTGAATGCAAATGTGTTTTTGCAAATAGTGTCTTTTGAGATAATCACAGATGATGGTTGAATGCTGAAGGTATTAATACAATCAGTATTTAACCTTGTATAACTCTGCTTCATCAAATCACACCCTGCACATTGATTGCATTAAGCCAGGTCATTGGTTTCTTGCCTAGGAATATCTTAGAAGAATCTTAACAGGAAGGCCCAGTAGCTGATCGGCTACTGTTTATTTGCATACTGAATGTGTCATCAATAATACAAAAGACAAGGTCCTTAAGTTGAAAGAATAGTGAGATTGGCATGAATTTTGCTTAATGGTGCATAATAAGCAAAGTAGTCTGTGGTGCCAGAAAGTGACAGGATCCATTATGTTTAAACAGATATATGTCTTTAATTTAGGGATATTATGTAAATCTGACAGGAGCTTTCCCCTTTATTTTCCTGTAGTTTAATTGCTCTAAGATTAATTCTGATTTCTCCCTCCCTCCAGAGGGTGATGAGACTGGTGTGATGGATAATCTTCTAGAAGCCCTACAATCAGGCGCAGCATTCCGAGACCGCAGAAAGCGAATTCCAAGGAATCCAGGTAAAACTCCTTCTGGTTTACATGGTATTATAAAATGTGAATGTTCCAGTTCACATGGTATTATAAAATGTGAATGTTCATAGCCAACTACTACCCCCCAAAAACCTTCCTCGTGAATTTTTTTCAATAGTCGATCTCAGTTCATGTATTAAGAAGTCTCAATAGGCTTCTATGTCTATGTGAACACAAGTTTCACCTTGGTAAACGTAACTTCAAATAACTGTGGACTCTGCCAAAAAATTTCAGAAACAAGTACTCCTGCTGCATTTAATATTAAATATTTTAATTGTTGTTTTATGTGCATGTGGTTTGGGTGGAACATGTTTTAAAACCATAAATGTATTAAATCATTAAAGGTAATTGGCCCTAGGGATGTCACTTTAGCTATTTACAGGTAAGGAAACTGAAATAATGCTTCTTTCTAGAAGTCATTTTGGCTTTGTAGTACAATCCATATCCCATTCTCCGGATTACTAAAGAGAGGAAAGGCACAGTGGTATTAGAAAATGGTCTGTCTTTTCTCTTCATACCCTATGGCTGAGGTAAATAATAGTTCCTCTCAGAATAATCCAGGTAGGTGAACTATCCATATCCTTTAAGGAAATTTCTGTATTTTTAGTTTATCTCTTCTACAAAGGAGGAACAAATTAGGTTATATGGATTTTAAAAGCCCTCTTCATAGGCCGTGGAGCCATATGGAGGAGTAAATGAAAAAGGGAAAATTAGTAGTAAATATGTAAATTCTACTTAATTTAGATTAATAAGATTACCTTGACTAGCCTACAATTCAAAAAATATTCTGTATTTGGACTGGAAACTAACATATATCATCAGGATAGAACGTGGTGGCTCTTAAAATGGTTGTACTCCAACAAACCAGTGAAAGAAATGGAGCCCAGTAAAGTTGTCCAGGAAAGCTTTTGACAGCAGTGAAACTCATGGCAGAGGACAATGTAAGTTATATTCATCTTTTTTACATTTGGGTGAATTTTGGTGGATATGAAGACATTGGAGATGGCCTACAAAAAGAATGGAAGACTGGAAGAAAGTAAAGTAAAATTTCTGTATATTCATATTAATTTTTAAGGTAGTGCTGCATTGCAGAATATTAGGAGCACTGCTAATTTGTAACTATGAAGCAGCCATCTCATCTACCCTCAGTCTTTATCTGTAAAACAAGAATGTTTTACCGTGCTATCAGAGACCCCTTCCACCGCCTGTGGAAAATAGAAACCTTCACTGTTCTTTCTTGAACTATCAGAGTATTAACAGTGAAAAGCAAACTAAAATAATTTTTCTGTCAATTCAGTTCTCTGTTAAGCAGCTGATAAGTATAAGCATGTTATTCTGTACCATAAAAGAACTGCCATCATCTTTCTAGGAGTTTATTTTTAAATTACATTTGCTAAGGCCCATGTCTGATTAGACTCATAACTCATACTGCCTCTAGAATGGTTGTACTGAGAAAGAGAGAGATCATCTAATGGGGTTTCTGTTAGTTTGGTACTCAAGGGAATATAGTGTCATCAACTGTGAAACACCAAGAGTAGATTCACAAATTACATGATTTTATAGTACTGATCCCAAGTAATCTAAATTGGGACCTCCTTTGGTTTGTAGCTGGAGTACCTCCATGAATGCACAGGGTCAAAAATATCAGCCCATGTAGTTCTGGCAGTCATTCCAAGTGACAGCGACCAATGCAAATGCCCAGCGGTATAAAGAAACTAGAAGCAGGTGGTGGCGATGACTGGTAAAGCATCTTGAGCATCAAAGTTCAAGCGAGGGAGAGGAGAGGCAGGCATAAAGTTGAGAAGTCTGCCAAAAACCCTCTTGTTCGCTTGCCTCTTTCTAAAAGCAATAGAACTGGGGATTTTCCCATATTTCTTCCTTATTTCTGACTTTCCTAACTAGATCATCTTTTTCTGCAGGCCTCTTTTTGTTTTCACTTTCCTAGGTATTTGGTTCTTCTTCAATGCCCCATGGACTTTATATTTTTATACTTTCCCTTTTCAACACCAGCATCCTTGCTCCTTTCCAATAACCTCCACTTCTACATGATGATAGAAGCAGAAAAATCAAATTATAAAGAAGACTATTTTTATCAAGTAATGTAAAGTAAGAGTTAATAGCCAAAAAAAAATCTGAAATGCAGTGAGCCACAAACAGCAAAGATGTACTGCTCTGCTTGCCATCTCCATTATTATCACCTGCAGATGGAAATTATGGTATATAAAATATAGAGCTCTACAATTGTGCTTTTAATTGCAGTGTTTTCAATTCCATATTTAAACAAAGTGAGGTGATTATTTATATTCTTCATTAGAAAATAAAAATGTTAAAAAAAAGAAAAAAATGTTAGTAAATAGTATGATTAGTTGTCTAAATTATAAAACTTGCACACTGAGTCTATATCCCCTCCCCAGGATCTACCAAATAAGGCAAATCAGAGCTCCCAAATACTGCCTGTAGCCCAAAAACTGAGAATGTTGTTTCAGCTAAGGCCTCCAAAAGGCATTTCAAGGCAGACTATTATATAAGGAGAGCTATTGAAAAATATATTGATAACTAGTATAGCACAAGCTTCAACCAGTCAGAATGTACACAGGCAATAAGTAGCCACTATGGTGGTACTAATACAAACTGGCTCAATATCAACCCAGATTACAAGCTTTGTTAATACCAAACTCAGAGTTTAGGAAATGAGCCCCTAAACATTCATTAATTTATTGTACATCTGTTCCATGAAAGGCAGTATGCCACATGAAGGAAAAATGCGGAAATAATTATGATTTTTTAGTTATAAGACCCTTGTGTCTTGTGGGAAAGATAAAGACAGAAAGATTATAGAATAAGGCAGAAAATAATAGCTATTATACAAAAGCTATTAATAATATACTTTGTGAGCTCAGAGGAAGGAAATATCATGTTTTATTGGGTATATCAGAAAAAGAAGCATTGAAGAAAAGGTTTTGAAGGATGAGTATGGATTTCAGCAGTTGGAATTGGAAGTAGGGATAGTCGGTAAATGGAATCTCATTAAGAAAAATACAGAAGTAAGAAAGTGTGAAGCATTTTGAGAGCATGGCCAATAGTCCACCTAGTAAGAAAATAAGCTATATAAAGTGTAGAAGTATGGAGATAATTCTGGAAAAGTAGGTGATGAGCACTGGGTCTTACATGCAACTGATGAATCACTAAATTCTACCCCTGAAACTAATAATACACTATATGTTAACTAAACTGAATTTAAGGGCGCCTGGGTGGCTCAGTAGATTAAGGATCTGCCTTCAGCTCAGGTCATGATCCCAGCCCTTGGATGGAGTCCCACATCAGGCTCCTCGCTCAGGCGGGAGCCTGCTTCTCCTTATCCCTCTGCCTGCCGCTCCCGTTGCTTGTGCTCTCTGTCTCTCTCTGTCAAGTAAATAAATAAAATCTTTAAAAAACTAAAAAAATAAACTCAATTTAAATACTCTTTTTTTTAAAGTAGGTTGGTGCCACTCCTAAGAGTGCTTAAATAAGAGACTAAGGTGTTACTGTGTAACTCTTTAGGCCACAGGGATATATTGAAGGTTTTTAAGCAATGGAGAAACATGATCAAAGCTATATATTAAGACATTTAATCTATGGAATGTGAGTGATGAATTAGGATTCTACTGTCATATTCTGAGTCAAAGGAGATAATTTAAATGAAGAGGAGGAGGAGTAGCCAGGAGTCAAAGATAATCCTAGGGTTTTGAATTTGATTAGGTAGAAGGACAGATGGATTATGACAGAAAACAATTAAGATCTGGAAAAGGAGTGGTGATGGAAGATTAAGTAAGTTTTGTTTTTTATTTAAGATTTATTTATTTATTTGACAGAGATCACAAGTAGGCAGAGAGGCAGACAGAGAGAAAGGAAGGGAAGCAGGCTCCCTGCTGAGCAGAGAGCCCGATGCGGGGCTCGATCCCAGGACCCTGGGATCATGACCCGAGCCGAAGGCAGAGGCTTTAACCCACTGAGCCACCCAGGCGTCCCAAGATTAAGTAAGTTTTGAGAAATTGCAACTGAAAGTGACAGCAGAGCATTGAGGTCAAGAGGTCTAGAAGTTTCTTGAAAGTATAGGTGTAGATTTCATCACAAGATGGTTGAGTTTGTGAGATTTCTGGTTGTAATATGGAAATGGAAGGGATTATTAGAGTGATTATTCAGATAAAAGAGATCCAAAACCAGAACTTTGAAAACGCCTTCACTTAGGGCCTAAAGGTAAAACTAGCAAAGAAGATAGACAAGGAATAGTTGGGCAGGTGGGAGGAGAATCAAAACATTGTTCTAGGGGTGCCTGGGTGGCTCAGTGGCTGAAGCCTCTGCCTTCGGCTCAGGTCATGATCCTAGGGTCCTGGGATTGAGCTCCACATAGGGCTCTCTGCTCAGCAGGGAGCCTGCTTCCCCCGCTCTCTCTGCCTGCCTCTCCGCCTACTTGTGATCTCTCTCTCTGTCAAATAAATAAATAAAATCTTAAAAAAAAACACAAAACATTGTTCTAGGAGCAAAGAAAGAGGGAAGTATTAAGAAGGCAGAAAAGGTGGGCATTTTCAACAAGGACATATGCTGTGGTAGGATCAAAAAGGATAAAAACCAATGATTTGCCATTTGGGAGTTTTCTATCAACTTTTTTTTTTAAAGATTTTATTTATTCATTTGACAGACAGAGATCACAAGTAGGCAGAGAGGTAGGCAGAGAGAGAGGAAGGGAAGCAGGCTCCCTGCTGAGCAGAGAGCCAGATGTGGGGCTCCATTGTAGGACCCTGAGATCATGACCTGAGCAGAGGCTTAACCCACTGAGCACCCAGGCACCCCCGTCTATCAAGTTTTTAAGAGCATCTTTTCAATATTTGGATAGAACTGGGAGCCAGAATGCAGGAACTAAGCGGTGAGTAGGTTGTGAGGTTGCAGGAATTGATAGCATTCATTCAGCAACTGAACAGTTTTATTGACTGCTTCCTGGGTGTCATGTA